TACTTTCTTTACGAATATTTAAATTAACGTTGGGTTTAGGAAGATGTGTTACATGTACAACCCAATATAAGTTCCTATTTGTGTGAATGGTATTTTTCTTGTAACATGTTTGCAGACAGGTTGCGTTCCGTTTACATCTTGCATTGTAAAAAAAAAAACAAGAATCACGGGGCTATACTTACGCTATGATATCCGTACCATGATGTTAATTCTACATTACTTAAACATTGAACAGTGATTGTAATATAACCATTAGAGATGTTAATTTTTGATACTTTCAGAGAAAAAAACGCTCTTTATTTTTATTGCTGAAATTGCTTATTTTTTCAGACAATAAGTAGAGTATCTTTAATCCCATATAATCAAAACCATACAAAGTAAATGAAAAATTGAGTATATACTCCTCGTATTTTATTATTGTGTACACATTCTTTTTGCATTGTCATTTTGCACACAGTGAGTGTTACATACATTAAATATATTCACCCTCAATTATGGATTAATCACAGAAAGATAATACTGAGGCTGAGTGCTTCATTGTTGAAATTCTTTTTAAACAAAATTCTCAGCATATGTATTATACGTTTAAAATAATCTGGAATGAATGTTTTTGGAATTTCTATAGCTGATTGCGACTTCTATTGCCTTACAATATATTTTTCTCAAATTATGCAAACCTTTAGCTTGTAAATCGGTTAGCATTAAAAAATCTTCTCAAGATCAGAAAGGTTATCTTTGTCATACAATATGTTATTCCTTTGAGAATTCAAATCAAATATGTTTAATTTATAAACCCAGTGAACAATGTTGCGGTCACTAAAAATAGGATTAAAGAATTAATCTATTTAAAAAAATTTAAAAATTGTTCCTTGTATCAGAACAGGGCTTAGATGATTAGGTCGGTATTTTCGATCACGGAGCTTTTGTTATTAATGAGTGAATGGAACATAACATTTTAGATATTGTCCTACGCAGTGGAGCAATTCAGATGAAAAAGAAAAGTGAAGAGAAGACCAAAGGCTACCGTACGTTTTTTGTAGACATTTTAGCTCACCTGGACAAAAGATTCAAATGAGCTTTTTTCCAGTTGTTATCTGTCGCCTCTCTAACAGTGTGTCCTTATACATGATTGTCCTGGTACATTTTAACATTTTTAGCCCACCTGAGCTTACTGCTTAAGTAAACGTCACATTTTGCCTACCATCCCTTTGTTTGTCTGTCTAGGTGTTTGTTTGTCTGCACAATCAAGCCAGTTTGTAACTTTAATGGAGAAACACTAAAAGCAGACACGAAGATGTATGTGTGATGTTACCATCACCCAAAGTCAATTTTGTTAGTTCAATGGCATTGGTAGAAAAAGTAAAATTTAAAACTTCTTAATGTAGAAATACCGGAAGCTTATACCGTATACAAATATTACTTGTAATCTACAGGTATGGTTTAATCTCTAACCTAAATTCTTTTGATTGATCAAGTACAGTTATATTCTTAGAAAAAAAAAATGTTTAACCTAGTTCCTGACCATAACGAGTGTTCAAGTATTATATAATTTATATCATACAAATAAAAATTATAATATACTCTCATCTTATACAGATACAGTGCTACCTATATATATTGCCAACTTTTGTCCAAGACAGATTTTGGCATTGAAGTAAAAAAAAATTACAATCTATTATTATATTCTGATTTTTTTCCTATATGAAAATTAGGCAGTAAAATGTAAATAGTTCCCTTGAAATCACTATGAATGGACTTATACTAGAGCGTTAGTTATATTTGTAAACCCTTCTTTAGTAGCTATTTACCGGTTATAATTATCTTTTCTTTCGGTTAAATACATGTATATTAAGAGAGAGAGAGAGAGAGAGAGAGGGGAAGGTTGTACAAGAGTTATTTTTACCTATAAAACGTAAAAAGAAAAGAAAAGAAAGAAGGAGGGGAGTTAAAGAACAGTGACTAGAACAGTGAAGTTTTGAGTGACTTCATCGTAACGTACTAAAGTAATTGTCAAAAAAATGATAATGATATTAACAAAGTAAATTGATTAAAAAATAATAACCCATTTCTGTCAGAAATGATCAAAATCTATCAGTTTTTCATCATCTTTTACAGTGACTTTCCAAGCTTTTAAAGAAAAATTAGGTAAATTAAAAAAAAATGAATACATGGACAGGTAATATACTGAAAGGAAAAAGAAACGCAGGTTGGCATAATATTCGAGAAAATCTTGACCGCATACCGAAAATTACGAAAATTGTTCGAATGAGAAATTTAGTTACTATGCACCAAAATCAGTGTTCAGAATTATTCAACCATTAAATGTATGACTTCATGTAGGGAAAACGCTAAAAAGCCAAAAACAAGTGCAATTTTATGACGACGAGTTTGTCAACAAATCTTTTTGCACCATTTGAAGCACCTGATGTATACACATTATTTTTCACTGTTTTTCAATGTTTAGAGACGATATGAAACTCTTGCAATCTTGGTACAGTTTCCGGAAGTCCAATGGGGTCTGATTTTTGAATTGCTTAATTAATGAAAAAGGCAACAACCGGTAACTGTGCATTTAAAAAAAAAAACAAAACGTTTCCCTCCATAAATCTTGTCACCCGTTGTCAGAGAGGGCCTGGTATGGTTTTCAATCAACCGTGACGATGACGTTACCGCAAATAAGTCAAGTTACGAGCGGGCTACTCATTCTGCCATCTCTTAACTCGCAACCCTACTACCACAAAAACCGCCTTTTTATACAATAGACTATTGTGGTTACCTATGCCAAATACGAGGGTCATTCAAAAAATACGTAGACAATGCTTCTCATCGTCATATGATTATTACAAGATTGTAGATCAACACACTTTCGTAAACATAAACATTTATTTTGTTGAAGCGTGAAGTTTCATTCCATTTGATTTAACAGAACTCACGTCAGCCAAAATTAAAAGCAACATGTTTTGTTACCACGGAGCACGGTTAACCAATATTGTAACGTCAAAAACAACGCTTAGAAAGTTTGTCAGAAGTATACACATTTTTGTTATTTCAAACACGATTTGTTGCGTCTTCTCCATTCAAAACACATATCCACAATACTTAACACCTGGTTTGCTAACAATTGTGCAAATATAGCTTGAATTAGAATGTTATTGTTTTCAAATTCTTTGATTTGCCATGCAACTTTATTATTTCAGCAACATTGAAGCACACATCACGTTCAATGACTTTCTTAACTCTTTTGACAATATTTTTAACTTTAACCTGTTTCTTTGCAGACAATCCATCGTCCGATTCGAACTCGCTACCACTCAAAAATTGTATTTTCAACTTAATACAAACACACAGATTTTTTTCATACAGATCCTGATTTATAAGGATTTTTTAAGCTTGCAGAAAAAGTTTCCCGAATGTAAAGTCTAATTTTATTGCTACTTGCTGCTCCGTGACGTCCTCCAACGTCATGGTTTTTTGCCTTTTTTAATCAAGTCCATATGTATTTAGAAGCTGATATCTTTTAAATGAAACGAGATATTACATAACCTGATTTCATTTTAATTGATACAGCAATTCTTTATTTGAACATGTAAATTTTTTTCGTTTCAGATTCATTTATTAGAGGTATAGCTGTAAATACTATAAAGTGAAAAGTCGAAAATTACTCAATTTTGACGGTGCTCCGTGACCCCAATTTTGCTGTTCTAAATCCTTGGTAATTTTAATAAATATGAGGGTACAGTCCATTTTTTTTTAATCAGATTATTTGAATCTGTTATTAAAATATTTGTATTAAATTTGGATATAATATGACGTTAAATAAAAAAGTTAGGACAAAAGTCTACGAACTTTTTGAATGACCCTCGTATAGCCTTGGTTTGAAGATACTCACTTTGATGAATTCCATGCTAAAGGAAAATAACGCTCATGTCAGCTGTGCAGGGGAGACATTGCAGATAAGAGTTTTCGATTTTCACTTTTAAGGGGTACCATCATATCAGCTTAAATTATTGCTGAATAGACAAAATCAAATCTGATTTTGGTTTTATCTTTTTGAAAGATGATTTTAAAAGTAAGATAGGAGTACTGAAAGAAATCAAAGAAAAATAAATTGAATTCGCCTCAAAAGTTTACCCTGCATTTCTTTTTCTTTTCAGTATTTATGAAATGATAATCTTAATCACTGTATATCATGTTACATGTAGAAAGTCAATTTAAACTAAATGTGTACACGTCTCCTCAAATTATACATTTTTGTATCAAATTCAAAATGTAATTTGCTATGAATCCAAACTTGCCAGTGATCTTTGTTGGTGTATTTCACGACAAACACATCGTATATCCAAGCAGAAATTTGACCGCAATGAAATTCGTACATGGGAACTTTTTTTTAAATGCATGAATATTTCATCATTATTTTTCAAGCTTTTTTCAAGACTTTATTTTTTAAAAAGGAGATATGTCATAAGATCAAATTAATATTTATCTTTATTTTTTACTCTGACTTTAGATTTTGTGAACTTGGAAAAATAAAAAAAAAGATTTTAAAAACCAACAATAGATAATGGATTTTTGCACACACCCCACACACAACCACCATCAATTAAGAAGTGAAATATATTAAATTTTAACAGTCTTCCTTAAATGAAATCCAACTGAGCCTGTTTATGATGTTTTTTTTATAAATGGTATTGATGTCCATTTATTCATTTAATTGTAGAGAGGATTTCCTGTTGGCCAGCGAAAACTTTTTATAAAAAACGTGAACAGCTCAAGGAAAGCGAAGACTATGAATTTCAAATCCAAAGACTAATTAGTTTTATGAATATTGATAGCTATAATCTTGACTCAAATCAACGAGACCACATGGAAAACAATGATTATAAAGACATCATTAAGAGAGTAGATTACCTGGACTGTTCAGGACTTCATTTCAGTAGAGCTGAAAAACAGAGTAAAGGTTTAAAGCCATTCTCTCGATCCAAAGTTGATGAAAAGCAAAGTAAACGTTTTGAGACATTCTCTCAATCCAGTGTTGACGATTTTCTTGAATGGATGACAGACTTTAACGAAGTCATCAGAAATACACAGTCTCCAAAATGTCGTCTCATTTTATCCATCCTATTTTCTACATATGCAAAGAAAGCAATGTCGGAATTTAAACCAAGAGACCTTTCATTAATTATTGATCGATGCCTGGAATGCGCTATTGAAAATCAAAACCACATATTGATTTTAGAGATTGTGAGGTCATACGTGCTTGATTTTGATTTTCATTTGTGTAAACTGTTTAAAGGCAAGAAAAGAATTTCTTTTCTTGTGGACACTTTCTTGAATACAGCATTATACATACTTCTAAGAGAATGTCCAAGACTTCAACAAAATGCAATCAGACTATCGTTCTGTTGTGAATGTAGCAAGGAAAGTAGGCTTGTGATCATGATGTTATACAAAGGTAGCATAGAAATGAAAGACGGAACTCCGGAAAAGGTCATGGGGGTCAATCTGGTATTGTATAACTATACACACCCATCTGATGAAGCTCATACTGTCTTCAACTCCTCTTCTGCTTCTTTTTCATCAACCAACCTGCCTGTTATACCAGAAAATGACGCAAGAAAACTTTTCAAGAAGCATTCCAACCTCACTTTGATATCGGCATCTCCTTATAAATCATCAGGATATTCCAAAGGAAAACATGTCATTATCGAAAAACACTGCATTAGTCTTTTGTGTTTACATAAAGGATTCATTCCCTTTGGAGAACGAGAGTTTCCTAAACAAATCAATGGTTTCGAAGTAGATGTACAGGAGGGCTACTGTTTGTTGGGAAGTGGTAAATCTATAGACTTTGGGGGACATATCCGTCGTGCCAGAGGAGTTAACAATCCTGGAAATGGAAGCATTGGGGGTTTTGTTGATTTGCCAGATGGTTCCGTTGGTTTGATTACGTGTGCTCATGTTGTATTTTCAACAGATGAATTGAATGTACCAAATACTGAATTAGAAAACTATGTAACTTGTAGAGGTACAGATTTTAAAGCAGAGTTTTTTGATAAAAATAAGCATAAATTTCAAGTATGTGGCAATATTGTGGATAAACGCTTTCCACTCTCAATGAATGACAATGCCATTGACGCCGCTTTGATAAAACTTGACCCAACTGTGAACGAATTTGGATTTCCCGTGGCACTAGCTAGTCAACTATATTCAGCAGGTAAGCGAAAGGCATATTACATTAAATATGCGTGTCAGATGATAACATCCCAAATGTTCTTCAATGTACCCTAGCTTCTAGTTTCACTGAAGTGATAGGGAATATACCGGCAATTTATTATAAATCTAAGAATCTAGATTTTTTTATTTAAAAAAATGGATTGAATTGCCCCTTGAAAGAGACAATTATGACACTTATTTGTCTGTTTAAGGTCATATATCTCTAGTGTTTCTCTATGTTTTTCAGTATGTGTCTATAGTATTCAAATGAACAAAATGACTGTAAGCTTAAATTTGAAGCATCAAATCAAAGTGCAGATAGGCTTATCTATAGTTAAGTTTCATAATGAACATAAGAACGTTACGGCATTTATTTCCACAGAACTTCCATTTATTTCCATTCTAGGTTTTGACCCAGATATATCACCAGTATTTAATGGGGAGGTTGTTACTTTGCAAGATCCTTACCCTATCCACAACGTAGGCAGCAGATTTCCGGATAGATTAGACAGTGTCATAAAATATGGAAGTCAATCAGGGTTCACGATTGGAAATCTCTACTTTGATGGAGCACATATCCGCTTTTTGAACGAATCTTTAGGTTTACCGGACCAAATCAACATTGTGTCTATGTATAATCAAATTGAAATTCAAAGCCTTCCACATGGGGCCTTTTTTGAAGTTGGTGATTCAGGGGCCTTTGTTTTCTGTATCAATCCAGACAAGACTCTGAGCTGTCTTGGGATGGCGATAGGTTTGACCACTAGGGGATCCTGTCTCGTGACACCAATGGTTAGAATACTAGATTCTTTTGGTCTCCCTCATACATTAAAGCCGTGTTCTTCGTTTTGCCCTAGAAACAACTCGTCAGGGTCACAGGATCCTACAGGTTCACAGTCAGAACAGCAAAATAATAATGCTTCATCCAGTGTTGATTTAGGAGCAATTCTGTTGAATTTGCAAACTTCAATAACGAGTATGCAATCGTCAATAATGGGCGTTCAGAATCAACAAACCTCTATTCAAACTTCATTACAAAGTGTACAAGCAGAGGTTGGAAATCTGAAAGCACAAGTTCAAGCAGACGTTTGGGATTTGAAAGCTCAAATTCAAGAATTAAAAGATGAGATTCACACAAATTCATCTACTGGTTTATTGGACATCAACCAAAACTAGAAAGTCTATTTTAAATCTAGATATTCCTGTCATGTACTTTATCGAACCTTTTAGAAAAAATGAACTCGCACAAAACTCACAGATGGTGATGGCGATTTGGAGTAACTTAAAAAAATTATGTAGTTACAATCCTTATTCTTTAATTATTTTCTTAATTCATTTGTCGTTTATTTGCTTTCAGCTAATTTCAGTCGTCATTATCATAAATTTCTCAAAATAATCCAAGTTACCTTCAAAATTGTATTTAATCTAGTTGCTTGGGAGATTGAATTCTTTTTGTTCTTCTCCCAACATTTTTCTGCTTCTGTAACTTTTGTACTATAAAAAAGAATTGTTATGGTTCACAGTGAAAATGCTGTTGGACATATGGTAAAAAAAACTATCATACTTAACATATGTCTCAATCAGAGTGAAAATGTTTGAAAACATATGCACATGGTATGCACAAGATGAAAATCCACCATTCAGTCGACTGAATGGTGGCTGAATGGCCACTGAATGGTCACTAAAAGGTTACTGAAAAGACCCTTTCCCGTGACCTTTCCGTGATCATTCAGTTACCATTCAGTCGACTGAATGGCACATACATTCCAGTGACCTTTCCATGATCATTCAGTTGAATCTTTTTATTGAATAATCGGCTTATTTTTTTTTACCTTAAGATTTTATTTCACTTTTCCCTGGTATAATAGCATTAAATTTATCTAATTCCGAATAAAAAAAAATACGAAAAAAATGAATACAAGAAACAAAAATGCTCCCACGCCCAGAATCGAACCCTGGTGTCCTGCATAGGTGTCTGCGACCTTATCGATTGCGCCACAACTTCTTGTTGTGAAATGAGGATTTAAAATCAATTCATTTATAGAAATCGATGGAACAATCAGTTCAGCTGTTGTATCGAGGAGCTGCGATGTGTATATATCTTGTTTATCTTTTGTATATTCTGTGTAAGTTGCGCGGATTTTGGGGCAGACTGATTACTACACATCTCCTATCGGGATGATGACAATTATCAGAGACGGGTACCTGTTCCTGTGTCAAAGATTTAAGATCGTTGTAAATTCTCTATCTAGAAACTTAGTAGAATGATTTAATTAAATCAATATCATTTAGAAAGCTAAAATCTACTATATTTTTTTCTACAAGAGGCATGTATTTTAAACGATTTATTTATTCTTGTAATTAAAGTTTCAAAAACTAAATATCCTGCAGTTTTGACAATGACATAATTAAGAAGATAAAAGTGATCAGTAATACTTGTGATCTTCCCGAAAAGGTTTAAATAATATAAATTCTGTCACATCAAAAAAACTATATATTTCAAAGAAAAAATACACGTATAAGCACGATAGAATGGTATTCATATATTTTAAATTTTGAATCGGTTATCGGATAATTTTTTATCACTTGAAGAATTTTTGTTTTCTAAACTTGCTAAATGTAACTACAAAATTAAAAATCATTTTGAATAAGTCTCACATATTTAATAAAATTATAATAATTACTTAGATATATTTTAAGGTACCCGAATTTGGTCACGAGAAGTAAAAAAAAAACAATTAAGATTGAATAATAAATCTTTATTCAAAATATTGCTTCCTTGTTAAGAAAAAATATCTGATTATAAAATAGTACGCTAGTGAAATAAATTGCTAAAATTGAGACTTAAATATCACTGAAAGGGGGCGAAAAAGTCACTGAAGAGTCACTGAGAGTCGACGGAAAGGTCACTGAGAGTCGACGGAAAGGTCACTGAAAGACGACGGAAAGGTCACTGAAAGACGACGTAAAGGTCACTGAAAGTTGATGGAAAGTCCACTGAAAGTTGACTGAAATGTGTCCGCAGTATGGTGACTGAAAGGTACCTGAAATGTGACTGAAAGGCAACGGAAAGGTCACTGAAATGCATGTGCCATTCAGTGGCTGAATGGCCACTTAAAAGTTACTGAAAGTCCCTTTCAGTTTTAACTGAAAGGTATTGTTTCTTCCTGTGATATGATTTTTACATTCGTATCGGAATAAACTAAACTAGCAATATGTTAAATATATGCGTCTAGTATAAAAACATGAATTGTACAATTGTGCATCTTTGTTTTTTTTTTATCTGAATTGCTTATGTATAATCTGTGTGATTGCCCCGTAAAACGACTTACTGACACGAAGCAAACAAAAATACTATAGAAAACTATTGTCAACTATAGTTTATTATCATTAATTATAGTAAATCAAAGTTCCTAAGTTTTCACTATAGCAAAAGGCGTGCCTGGGTCAGCAGTTGAGCAGGGAGCCGGAGCGGGCCAGAATCAATGAAGAAGTAACGCATTTGTTTATAGTTTTAACAAAAACTAATACTAAAGGACCCTCAAGTCCTTGATAGTATTGATAATCTCTTAATTGACAATATTAAGACAAGTTCTGCTCCTGTTTTGTATTGTTTTATTGACTTTGTTTTTGAATACTGCTCGTTATCTCCATATCATTCACAATAAATTTTATGCTGAATTTTTAAATTGCAATTATTTTTAGACCTTCTGAGCCAAATTCTCAAATAGCAAATGCTATGGCCATTTGTGCGCTGTGCATAAACGTTTTAGAATATGGGTTAGGACTTTTTACGATATGTTAATACGACAAAATTGTAGTTAGAAAATTAATAAAAAATATTGGTATCAATAGATCGAGGACAGGTCCCTTGTTTAAAAAAACGCTGCAGTTTTGATATACCCAGTATGTACATGAGCTGCAGCGAATCGCGACCTGGTGTCGTTTTAAAGGGCAATCGTAACAACTCAGCCATATAATTATAAAGCGGACACATTTTTGACGAAATAATACTATTTTTCTCAATATTTCATTAGGGTACAAAAATATATATATATCGCTTTTAAAGAATCCGCGTTTTTTTTTTACCCGCGGATCAAGCTGATTTTGTGATTCCGGGAAATTATGACCCCATGGATATAACAACGTCTACATTAGTTACTCGGATTTATTCTCCATTATCAATACTGTTAAGTATAAATCGACATAAATTCAATAAATCTAAGGATTATAGAAATAAAAGTTATATGAGTAACACGCCCTAATACCGGCAACTGAGACACCCGAGGCAACTGTTACAACAGACGCAAAAATTGTTTTTCGCTATGACAGAGTCCTAATATACCGTATAAGCAGAATTTTAAGAGAGGATTTAAAAATTTTGGCATTATAAGCAAAGGTTCTGACATCGTTAATATTGAATATAGTTAAAATTAATTGCGTATTATTTGTGAAAGCTACTTTACTTAGCATTTTAAAATCGCTAAAGTTACTTCTCGTTAAAATAAAATACCAGATTTTAGTTAGAAATCGCTAAAGTTGCGTCTCGCTAAAATATATCATATTTCTCGATTATTTAAAACTTTATAATAACAAAACAAGAACAAAATAAAGTTAAATTTCAATCGTTGTTCAAGAAAAATCGACCAAACTGGGCTTATAGAATTAAAACAGCTTCTCCACGGTCACATGTCTTGTTGTTTATTATTAATTTAGGCTTTCTAAGTCATAACCGCAAAACTTGAATAATTTTTGTTGTTTTATGAATGTGCTGCAAGTGTTTGATTTTGGGTTTAATTATTTTGGCTTTCGTGTACAACAGACAAGGCAAATAATGGCAGCAGATTTATAACGAAATATGGCAATCCTAATCAATGGATAGAGTATAAAAAATATAAATTTGCTATATTTTAATAATCTTAAAATTTCGGTTAACATTTTTTAGCTGTTAATATTGTGGTATGTATAGTAGTTGCTATACGACAGTTACTGAATCAAACTTTTAATCGATTACCAACACGAACATGTTTTAAAAAGGCAGTCCATATAAGGACACGAAATAAAATAGTCGTAAATTTTGTTTTCCAGCGACAAGAAACGAAATCGGATATATCTGAAGCCGTGAAACAAAAGTACCTAAGTAACCATGCAAAGGGACCAAAGTTAAGTAATTATAAAGTTAATTATTTACCTAAAATAAAAGTATTCACTTTTTTATGTACAAGTTATATATTATTTGAACTTACAACTTGTACATAAAAAAGTGAATACTTTTATGTTATTATGAACTTAGTTTTTTTTTAATTATTGTCAGTTTTAGTATTCCTTATGAAGCTGTTTGCAGACTTCAGCAAACAAAATTGTACGCAGAAAGAAAGAGTTACTGCAAATTATTGTTGCTAGCTGCGATGTTGCGGCCAAAAATACAACTACTGTTATAAGCTTAAAGGAACTTAAAATGTTTAATGGAACATTTCGAGAAACAAACACGCTAATTTGTTGTTTGCAGCAACAAGTTTGTTAAAAATTAACATTGAGAAACTTAAGTTTTGTAAGACGTTCGCAAGAAAGTCATCAAGTAAACCATCAAATGAACATAGACCTAAACTGAACCTGTGCAATGAAACATAGACGGTACCAAGGTCAACAAAGACTTCACCATTTTGAAACAACAGAGGTGGGATCAAATGCCATGGAGGAGTGAACATCCCCTGCCTACCCGTCACATCCGCCGTGTGCTTTTTGGCATGATTGGGAAAAAACGGAAATATCCGTCGTCAACTCAGTGTATAGTAATGGACTTACAATTAGTTTTAATTACTTCCAACACTATCGACATTGTCATTACATTCATAGGAAAAGGTGGTCCCTAGTTTTCTAATCCACAAGTGTACTCAGAGACAAACTATTCCTGTGGTGATAAATCTTTTCGATAATTCTGACTTTCAAAGACAAAATAAAACAAGCAAATTCAAAGAATTGTAGTCCCCCGCTTTCGGTGTCTTTGTTGGTGAGATGTCAAATATGAACGTGAAGGCCAAGGTCAAGGAGTCAGAAATCATAGCATGTTTGAAAACATCTTGTCATAGTTATTACACATGTCAAATATGAAAGCCCTTTTCCTTTCAATCAAAAGTTAAAAAGAACAAAATATGTTTTTGAAACATTGATGACCCCGTATGGCAACAAAGCGAAGATTAAACTTTTCTTCAATGTAAACTAAATATATTGGTACTCAAATTTTAAAAAGTAGGTAAAACTGTAAG